CACAATATCCTTAACCATCCAAAATCCTTAGCCTCGTCAAAAAAAAAAAAACCAAAAAGATCATCAATCCAATATAATCGGAACGAAATGATAATTCAGATGCGAAAATTGAGCACGGAGTTGATCAACGCCGCGGACAAGCTGTCAGAGTTGGAGAAGATCGTTGAGAAAGTAGCGAAAATACACCTTCTATTTACGAATCCAAAAATACCTTCGACCAACCACCGCTCAAATTCACCGATTTTCCGTTAATCCGTAGTTGATTTTCAGTACAAGTCCAGCGGGAAATCGTGCGAGAGTTCTGCGGGCGACGTCGCTGACCGAGAAAACGAGCACGCGGGCAAGAGTCTTACGGGCTCGCTCGAGAATCTCAAGGTGTGTGTTTCGATTAAACCGCCCGCAGAAAGGGCTACCCTCTCCCTACCCTACCCCTCCTCCCTCCCTCCTCCTCTTCTCGCTCTGTAATTGTCACGAGGATCGAGCGCAGGCCGGTTTCGCTTGGCGAACGTCGTTGTAACAACTTGGGCAGAGGTCTCCCCGCAAAAGCGAGGAGGACAGGACGGATTGTCGGGGAAAATTGTGTTTCGGAGAGAGGCGGCACATCTCGCGGCAGGCGAGACGTGTAAAGTTATTTCGGTGTCTGGGAACGAAATTGGGGAAAACCATGGGACTCCCGTGGTTAGTTAAGACGCATTCAAACGGGATGAGATTTCGGATGAGGGAAGGGTTTAATGCTGATGCTGATTATCGCTGTGTTATCGTTTGGGATTGTGCGCCCACGATGGATCTGGCCCATCGTGATTCTTAATTGATAATTGCAGCGATACTGTGGTACGTGTTGGTCAAAGATTTCACTTTTGGTATTTACAGCGTATAAATATGAATAGGTAATTTCGAGAGAGATAATTTTATGGAATCTAATGATTATAAATTTTTGTATCTGTGTGTATATGTGTTAGTTGGTATCCATGGTGATTCTTAATTGATAATTGTGCCGATTATTGTATATTGTAGTATGCTGATCAAAGATTTCACTTTTGGTATTTATAGTGTACAAATATGAATAGGTAATTTTATAGAACCTAATGATTATAAATTTTTGTATTTGTGTATATATGTGTAAGTTGGTATCCATGGTGACTCTTAATTGTACCGATATTGTAGTATATTGATCAAAGATTTCACTTTTGGTATTTATAGTGTATAAATATGAATAGATAATTTTATGGAATCTAATGATTATAAATTTTTGTATCTGTGTGTATATGTGTTTAGTTGGTATCCATGGTGACTCTTAATTGTACCGATATTGTAGTATATTGATCAAAGATTTCACTTTTGGTATTTATAGTGTATAAATATGAATAGATAATTTTATGGAATCTAATGATTATAAATTTTTGTATCTGTGTGTATATGTGTTTAGTTGGTATCCATGGTGATTCTTAATTGATAATTGTGCCGATTATTGTATATTGTAGTATG